AGGGGCATAACCACTCTGCAATCCCTTTTCCTCCGTCCTCCTCTCTAGATTTTGGGCACATATTCACATGCACCTGGCATGAGTTTTAGGCCACCAGGTCCAGGACTTGAATGGCAATTGACTATGGGGGAGTCCAGAGACATAACCATTATGCTATCTGCTGGTCCCAAAGTCTTCCAAAAATTATTAAAGGTGGGACTGCTTCCAAATCAATTTTTTTAAAGAATTATTTTATTTTAATTTTATTTATTATTATTATTATTATTTTCCAGTTTGATCAGAGAGAGACAGAGAGAGAGAGAGAGAGAGGAAGTGAGAAAGCAAGCCACCAGGTCCGAGACTTGAACCGTGGTCGGCCATGTGGGAGTCCAGCACCTTTAACCACCATGCCACTTGCTGGCCCCCCAAATCAATTTTTAATACCAGTATTACCCTTAGACCAAACTGTTTTGTTTCCTGACCAAAATTTTCATAACCCATAATTCTTTCTCACATAGGTTATACTTTTCCCTTTTCTTACAGTTTTCTTGAAGACTTAATACTTGTAACTTTTATAATAACTTTACCTTATAATTCACTCCTTAACACATTTTATTTTCATACTGCTACTTTTTTGAAGCTCACCAGTGGCCTCAGAAAGGCAGTCAGTTGTGGTAGAAAGAGTCAGAATTTGGAGTTAGTATTAACGGAGTAAATTACCAGTTTTTGTCACTTACTCTACAACTTGAGAAATATTGTATATCTTTGTTACCTGAAATGTCATCTAAGGACCAGTAGCATTGAGTATCACTGGGACACCTGTTAGAATTGCAGAATTTTATTGTCTATTCCAGACTTACCTAATCAGAATCTATAAGTTAATGATACCTACATTGAGAGCATTGTTACATAGTCATCTTTGAGACTCAGTTTCACCAAATGTATGGTACTAGCTGTATATATCTACTATCTCAACACCATCTGACTTACCACCTGATATATCATTTGTTTCATTTGTTTATTGTCTCCTGGTGTATTGTAAGCCGTGAGGCAAGGATTACTTTTTAAGCTGTATCTCCTATATCCAGAATAGCCTTGCATATAGTAAACATTTTTAATGAAGTTTTAAAATTTATTTGTTAAAAAGAATGTGTGCATGCATGAGAAAGAGGGAGGGAGGAAGAGGAGAGAAAGATGAGAGAAAAGCACTCTTGACAGCTTGACAGGATCTGACATACCGTAATTCCTTTCCACCCTCCAGTTCTTTATTTTTTTTTTTTTTTTTTTTTTCTATAGGGCACATGTGCTCACCAGAAAGACAGAGAGAAATAGAGAGACAAAAAGCGAGAACTCACTTCCCGGAGGGATGGCCACGCTGCAAACCCTTCTCCATTCTCCTCATGGGATCTTAGCCATGCACGCATACACGCCTGGCATGAGTTTAAGCCACCGGGTCTGGGTGGTCAACTACATGGGAGTCCAGCGACATAGCCATTACGCCAACTGCTGGTCCCATCCACCCTCTAGTTCTTCAGGATATTGGGCACTTAAATGTATATGCCTGGTGTGTTTCATGTTGACCAGACAGAGGATTCAAATTACTGGTTAGTCATGGGGCTTCCAGCACTAGTTTAGTATGTTTCTGAGTATGCCACTGAGGCCAGGCTAGCATTCCTATTCTTTGAATGAACAAGTGATTGAATGTACAGCTTGTTAAGTTCTATCATTCCTGTTGTACTTATTTACTTAGTGCTGCTATTTAGAATTACTTTCATTTAGAATTACTGTATTAGTACCTGCAAATATAGAGCATTGTTATTGAAGAAAGTTCTGTTGGGTTATGCTGCTTACCTGTTCACATTCTTTCCCACTTGTCTTGAATCGATATTTCTGCAGTACAGTTCTTGTTAAATCTGTCAACAGTTTCTCATGCCATACGAATTCCGTTCATACTCTTCAGTGTAATCTTTAGAGTCTTTTACAATTTCATATACTTAAAAATTATGTGTGTTTTATACAGAGTGTATTCGTTGGGAAATTCAGTAAAACCCACTGCATGTATAGCATCCATCTGAGCCATATTACATATTTGGAATTGGAGGGGCAAGCGGAACATAGAAAAACAAGCTGATGATCCTTTGTTGGGGTGTGCATGATAAACTAATTTGTTTCTGATTGAGGAGCTTATGTTTTCTGCCTGCATACATTACACAGTAGGCTAACCATTAGCTGGTAAATAAGGTAAAATCAAATCCTAGTCCCAAGAGCATTTTTCCATCCCACTAGAAAGTCTTTAAAGATCCAAATTTTAAGATCTAGATAATACTACATCAGTGGGACCAGTAATTGGCATAATGGCTATGTCACTGGACTGCCATGTAGTTGACCATGGTTTGAGTCCCAGACCCGGTGGCTTAAACTTACACCGGGTGCATGTGCGTGCATGCCCAAGATCCTGAGGGGAGAGTGGAGGCGAAAGGATTGCAGTGTGGCTAGTCCCCTGAGGGGTGATTTCTTGCTTTCTGTCTCTCTATCTCTCTCTTTCTGGCGAGCTTACGTACCCTGTAGTAAAAACCTCTCCCCCCCTTCAAAAAAAAATACATAAAATCAATGTTATTTTAAAACTATTATTTCTGAATATGTAAATTATGCTCACATTACTTTGTTTATAATGAATACCTTTGTATATAAATATCTGTCATCTTTGATGACTATTTTCTTATGTTTTATTTTTAAAAGCTTAAAGGCCCAAGGTAAAGAAGTTTGCTTGCTTTATTTTTTTCAGTGTATAGAAAAATATATATTTTTAAGAGATATTTTTGTTACAGGGTGTGTGTGCTCGCCGGAGAGACAGAGACAGATAATAAGTGAGAAATCACCCTCTGGGGGGGTTGACCACGCCAAAATCCCTTCTCCCCCATTCTCTTCTCGGGATCTTGAGCACGCACACACATGCGCCCAGTGTGAGTTTTAAGGCGCTGGGTCTGGGATTCAAACTGTGGTTGTATGCAAGTCTAGCACCATAACCATTATGCCATCTGCTGGTCCCAGAAAAGATTAAAAAAAGTAATATTACCAAATCTCTTTTTCTTTAGGAGATACTTCTAAAGGAGGCATAGCTGAAATTACTCAATCCAGTTTGAAATTAGGCACCATTACCACTCCTAGAGATTCAGATATTGGATCTCATCCTTCTTTGCATCTTGAAGATTTGCCTCAGTTGGCTATCAGTTCTCCTCAAGAGAATACTACTGAACAGTACCCTGACACTCTCAGGCAGAAAGCTTTGACAGATAGTCATCTGACTGGAGAGACTTTGAAAGTCTCAGCCATTCCTGAACCAGCAGACCAGAAGACTGCAATATCAGTTGTACCCTCTAGTTACTACTCACAAAGGGGGAAGCCAGATGCTTTCTACCAACAGAGCTTGCCAGTTAGCCATTTTGGTGAAGAGACTCTGAAAGTTTCACTTGTTCCTGGATCAGCTGACCAGAAGACTGGGGTACCAACTGTAACCTCTACTCCCTACTCACAGAGAGAGACGCCTGGTATTTTCTACCAACAGACTGTGGCAGGTAGTCACATACCTGAAGAGGCTCTGAGAGTTTTACCTGTTTCTGGTACAGCTGACCAGAAGACTGGGATAGCAACTGTAACCTCTACCCCCTACTCACAGAGAGAAAGGCCTGATATTTTTTACCAGCAGACTGTGCCAGGTAGTCATATACCTGAAGAGGCTCTGAAAGTTTCAGCTGCTCCTAGGCCAGCTGACCCAAAGACTGGGGTACCAACTGTAACCTCTACTCCCTACTCACAGAGAGAGACGCCTGGTATTTTCTACCAACAGACTGTGGCAGGTAGTCACATACCTGAAGAGGCTCTGAGAACCAGCAGACCAGAAGACTGCAATATCAGTTGTACCCTCTAGTTACTACTCACAAAGGGGGAAGCCAGATGCTTTCTACCAACAGAGCTTGCCAGTTAGCCATTTTGGTGAAGAGACTCTGAAAGTTTCACTTGTTCCTGGATCAGCTGACCAAAAGACTGGGGTACCAACTGTAACCTCTACTCCCTACTCACAGAGAGAGACGCCTGGTATTTTCTACCAACAGACTGTGGCAGGTAGTCACATACCTGAAGAGGCTCTGAGAGTTTTACCTGTTTCTGGTACAGCTGACCAGAAGACTGGGATAGCAACTGTAACCTCTACCCCCTACTCCCAGAGAGAAAGGCCTGATATTTTTTACCAGCAGACTGTGCCAGGTAGTCGTATACCTGAAGAGGCTCTGAAAGTTTCAGCTGCTCCTGGGCCAGCTGACCCAAAGACTGGGGTACCAACTGTAACCTCTACTCCCTACTCACAGAGAGAGACGCCTGGTATTTTCTACCAACAGGCTGTGCCAGGTAGTCACATACCTGAAGAGGCTCTGAGAGTTTTACCTGTTTCTGGTACAGCTGACCAGAAGACTGGGATAGCAACTGTAACCTCTACCTCCTACTCACAGAGAGAAAGGCCTGATATTTTTTACCAGCAGACTGTGCCAGGTAGTCGTATACCTGAAGAGGCTCTGAAAGTTTCAGCTGCTCCTGGGCCAGCTGACCCAAAGACTGGGGTACCAACTGTAACCTCTACTCCCTACTCACAGAGAGAGACGCCTGGTATTTTCTACCAACAGACTGTGGCAGGTAGTCACATACCTGAAGAGGCTCTGAGAGTTTTACCTGTTTCTGGTACAGCTGACCAGAAGACTGGGATAGCAACTGTAACCTCTACCTCCTACTCACAGAGAGAAAGGCCTGATATTTTTTACCAGCAGACTGTGCCAGGTAGTCGTATACCTGAAGAGGCTCTGAAAGTTTCAGCTGCTCCTGGGCCAGCTGACCCAAAGACTGGGGTACCAACTGTAACCTCTACTCCCTACTCACAGAGAGAAAGGCCTGACATTTTGTACCAACAGACTGTGCCAGGTAGTCGTATACCTGAAGAGGGTCTGGTAGTTCCAGCTGCTCCTGGACCAGCTGACCAAAAGACTGGAGTACCAACTGTAACCCCTACTCCCTACTCACCAAGAGGGAAGCCTGGCATTTTGTACCAAAAGGCTGTGCCAGATAGTCACATACCTGAAGAGGCTCTGAGAGTTTTACGTGTTTCTGGTACAGCTGACCAGAAGACTGGGATAGCAACTGTAACCTCTATTCCCTACTCACAGAGAGAAAGGCCTGACATTTTCTACCAACAGACTGTGCCAGGCAGTCATATACCTGAAGAGGGTCTGGTAGTTTCAGCTGCTCCTGGACCAGCTGACCAAAAGACTGGAGTACCAACTGTAACCTCTACTTCCTACTCACCAAGAGGGAAGCCTGGCGTTTTCTACCAACAGGCTGTGCCAGATAGTCATATACCTGAAGAGGCTCTGAAAGTTTTAGCTACTTCTGAACTAGTTGATCAGAAGACTGGAGTACCAACTGTACTCTCTACTCCCTACTCACCAAGAGGGAAGCCTGGCGTTTTCTACCAACAGGCTGTGCCAGATAGTCATATACCTGAAGAGGCTCTGAGAGTTTTACCTGTTTCTGGTACAGCTGACCAAAAGACTGGGATAGCAACTGTAACCTCTACTCCCTACTCACAGAGAGAAAGGCCTGACATTTTGTACCAACAGACTGTGCCAGGTAGTCGTATACCTGAAGAGGCTCTGGAAATTTTAACTGCTTCCGGACTAGTCGATCAGAAGACAGGGGTACCAACTGTAACTTCTACTCCCTACTCACCAAGAGGGAAGTCTGGTATTTTCTACCAACAGGCTGTGCCAGGTAGTCATCCAATTGATGAGGTTCTGAAAGTTTCAGCTGCTCCTGGACTGGCTGACTCAAAGACTGGGGTACCAACTGTAACCTCTACTCCCTACTCACCAAGAGGGAAGCCTGGTGTTTTCTACCAACAGGCTGTGCCAGGTAGTCATCCAATTGATGCGGCTCTGAAAGGTTCAGCTGTTCCTGGACCAGCTGACCCAAAGACTAGGGTACCAACTGTAACTTCTACTCCCTATTCACCAAGAGAGAAGCCTGGTGTTTTTTACGAGCAGGCCGTGGCAGATAATCATATACCTGAAGAGGCTCTGAAAGTTTCATTTGCTCCTGGACCAGCTGAACAAAAAACTGACATACCAGCTGTAACCTCTAGTCCCTATTCACAGAAAGAGAAGCCTGATATCTTCTACCAACAGGCTGTACCAGGTAGGCATATACCTGAAGAAGCTTTGACAGTTTCTGCTGTTTCTGGACTAGCAGACCAGAAGACTGGCATACCAACGGTAGCTTCTACTTCCTACTCACATAGAGACAAACCTGGTATTTTCTACCAGCAGGAGTTGCCAGAGAGTTATTTAACTGAAGAGGCTCTGAAAGGGTCAGATGCCTTTGAACCAACTGAACAGAAGACTGGGATAACGACAGTATCCCCTAGCTCCTACTCACACGGGCAGAAGCCCCTTATTTTCTATCAGCAGGCCTTGCCAAAACAACTAATTGATCAGACTCTGAACGTATCAGCTACTCCTGTACCCACTGGCCAGAAGACTGGAACAGCAATAACACCCTCCATATCCTACTCACAGAGAGACACATCTAATGTTTTCTACCAGAAAGAGTTGCGAGATACCCACCTAACTGAAGAGACATTGGAAGTTTCAGCTGCTCCTGCACCAGCTGACCAGAAGACTGGGATATTAACAGTACTCTCAAATTACTACTCACAGAGAAAGAAACCTGGTACTTTGTACCAACAAGAATTGACAGAGAGCCATCTAACTGAAGAGACATTGAAAGTTTCAGCTGTTCCTGGATCAGCTGACCAGAAGACTAAGATACCTACAGTACCCTCAAGTTACTACTCACCGAGAGAGAATCCTAGTGTTTACTATGAATATGAAGAGGTGATACCATATAGTTATGTACCTGAAGAGGATCTGATAGTTTCAGCTGCTCCTGGACCAGCTGACCCAAAGACTGAGGTACCAACCATAACCTCTACTCCCTACTCACCAAGAGGAAAGCCTGGTATTTTCTACCAACAGACTGTGGCAGGTAGTCATATACCTGAAGAGACTCTGAGAGTTTTACCTGTTTCTGGTACAGTTGACAAGAAGACTGGGATAGCAACTGTAACTTCTACTCCCTACTCACAGAGAGAAAGGCCTGACATTTTTTACCAGCAGGCTGTGCCAGGTAGTCATATACCTGAAGAGGCTCTGAAAGTTTCAGTTGCCCCTGGACCAACTGACCAAAAGACTGGGATACCAACTGTAACCTCTACTCCCTACTCACCAAGAGGGAAGCCTGGTATTTTCTACCAACAGGCTGTGCCAGGTAGTCATCCAATTGATGCGGCTCTGAAAGGTTCAGCTGTTCCTGGACCAGCTGACCCAAAGACTAGGGTACCAACTGTAACTTCTACTCCCTATTCACCAAGAGAGAAGCCTGGTGTTTTTTACGAGCAGGCCGTGGCAGATAATCATATACCTGAAGAGGCTCTGAAAGTTTCATTTGCTCCTGGACCAGCTGAACAAAAAACTGACATACCAGCTGTAACCTCTAGTCCCTATTCACAGAAAGAGAAGCCTGATATCTTCTACCAACAGGCTGTACCAGGTAGGCATATACCTGAAGAAGCTTTGACAGTTTCTGCTGTTTCTGGACTAGCAGACCAGAAGACTGGCATACCAACGGTAGCTTCTACTTCCTACTCACATAGAGACAAACCTGGTATTTTCTACCAGCAGGAGTTGCCAGAGAGTTATTTAACTGAAGAGGCTCTGAAAGGGTCAGATGCCTTTGACCCAACTGAACAGAAGACTGGGATAACGACAGTATCCCCTAGCTCCTACTCACACGGGCAGAAGCCCCTTATTTTCTATCAGCAGGCCTTGCCAAAACAACTAATTGATCAGACTCTGAACGTATCAGCTACTCCTGTACCCACTGGCCAGAAGACTGGAACAGCAATAACACCCTCCATATCCTACTCACAGAGAGACACATCTAATGTTTTCTACCAGAAAGAGTTGCGAGATACCCACCTAACTGAAGAGACATTGGAAGTTTCAGCTGCTCCTGCACCAGCTGACCAGAAGACTGGGATATTAACAGTACTCTCAAATTACTACTCACAGAGAAAGAAACCTGGACATTTTTTACCAGCAGGCTGTGCCAGGTAGTCATATACCTGAAGAGGCTCTGAAAGTTTCAGTTGCCCCTGGACCAACTGACCAAAAGACTGGGATACCAACTGTAACCTCTACTCCCTACTCACCAAGAGGGAAGCCTGGTATTTTCTACCAACAGACTGTGGCAGGTAGTCATATACCTGAGGAGGGTCTGATAGTTTCAGCTGCTCCTGAACCAGCTGACCAAAAGACTAGGGTACCAACTATAGCGTCTGCTCCCTATTCACCAAGGGGGAAGCCTGGTATTTTCTATCAGCAGGAGTTGCCAGAGGGTTATCTAGCTGAAGAAGCTCTGAATGTTTCAGGTGCTCCTGGACCAGCAGACCAGAAGACTGGGATAACAACTGTAACCTCTACTTCCTACTCACAGAGAGAGAAACCTGGTACCTTCTATCAACAGACTGTGCCAGGTAGTTATGTACCTGAAGAGACTCTGAAAGTTTCAGCTATTTCAGGACCTGCTAATCAGAAGACTGGGGTATCAACTGTAACTTCTACTTCTTATGCACAGAGGGAGAAACCTGAAATTTTTTACCAAGAGGTCTTACCAGGTAATCATATACCTAAAGAGGCTTTGAAAGTTTCAGGCTCTCTTGGACCAGCTGAACAGAAGATTGGGACACAAACAGTATCGCCTGCTTCCTCTTCACTTGGAGAGGAGTCCATTGTTTTCTACTCACAGACCTTACCAGATAATCATCTACTTGAAGAGGCTCTGACAATTTCAGGTGTTTCTGGACCAGCTGACCAGGTGACTGGGATAGCTGCAGTATCTTCAAGTTCCTATTCCCTTGGAGAGAAACCCATTATTTTCCACCAACAGCCCTTACCAGGCAGTGCTTTTACTAAAGAGCCTCCAAAAGTTTTAGCTGCTTCTAGACTAGCAGACCAGGAAATAAGGATACCAATAGTGCCCCCTACTTCCTATTCACCTGGAGAGAAGCCCATTGTTTTCTACCAACAGGCCTTGCCAGACAGTCATCTACTTGAAGAGGTACAGAAGGCTTCAGTTGTTCCTGGACCTGCTGACCAGAAGGCCAGGATACCTACTGCAACCTCTGCTTCCTATCCACAAAGAGAGAAACCAATTATTGCTTACCAGCAAGAGTTTCTAGATCTTACTGAAGAAGCTTTGAAAGTTTCAAGTGTTCCTGAACCAGGTGACCAGAAGACAGGGATACGAATTTTGCCCTCTGTTCCTTACTTATCGAGAGAGCAATCCATCATTTCTTACCAGCAGGAGTCTCCAGATCTTACTGAAATAGCTTTGAAAGCAGTATACGTTCCTAGACCTGCTGATCAGAAGACTGCCACACAAATAGCATCCTCTAGGTCCCCCTCACAGAGGGAGAAGCCCATTGTTACCTACCAGCAGGAGTTGCCAAATATTACAGAAGAAGCTTTAGATGTTTTTGTTTTTCCTGGACCAGGTGAAAAGAAGACTGGGATACCAGCAGTACCTTTAAGTTACTACTCATATGGAGAGAAGCCCAGTGTTTTCCCTCAACAAGAGTTGCCAGATGGCCGTCTCACTGAAGAGGCTCTGAAAGTTTCAGCTGTTTCAGTCCCAGCGGAGCAGAAGACCGAGACAGGGTCTTCTAGTTCCTACTTACATAGAGAGAAGCCCAGTGATTTTTATCAGCAGATCTTGCCAGATAGTCATCTAACTGAAGAGGCTCTGAGAGCTTCAACTGTTCTTGGACTAGCAGGCCTAAAGAATAAAATACCTACAGTACCATCTAGTTCCTACTCACAGAGAGAGAAACTTAAGATTTCAACTGTAGGTATACCGGACGACCAGAAAACTGAGTTACCAACAGTTACCCATAGTTCCTACTTACAGAGAGAGAAGCCCAAGATTTCAACTGTGATTGGACCAGATGACCATAAGACTCCGTTACTGACAGTTTTTCGTAGTTCCTATTCAAAAAAGGTAAAGCCCGGTATTTTGTTTAAACAGCAGTTACCAGGTAGAGATCAAAGTGAAGATGTTCTAAAGATTTCAACTGTTCCTGAACCAACTGATGTGAATACTGGGATACCAGTTCCTCTCTCAAGTTCCTATTTACCCAGAGAGGAATCTAATGTTTTTTATCAACAGGAATTACCAGATAGACATCTAAATGAAGATGTGCTGAAGGTTTCAGAAATCCCTGGATTAGCTGATCAGAAAACGGAGTTACCAACAACTTCTCCTAGTTCCTTTTCACACAGAGAGAAATCAGATACTTTTTATGAAAAGGATTTGTCAGATAAACATCCAACTGAAGATGCTCTGAAGGTCTCAAGTGGTCTTGGGCGAGCTGACCAAATTATTGAGTTACCAGCAGTTCCCCCTAGTACTTACTCACATGGTGAGAAGCAAAAACTAGTTTCAGAACATGTACAAAGGCTAATAGATAACTTGAATTCTTCGGACTCAAGTGTTAGCTCAAATGGTATACCTTTAAATTCTCGGGCTGATGATAGAGTTGTAATAAGTGAGCCAGAACCTTCAGGTTTTGGGAATATTGGCTGTGAGGAAATTCAGAATTTAGGTAATAATTCCAAAACTCTTAAAGAAATCCGGACACTCTTAATGGAGGCAGAAAACATAGCATTGAAACGGTGCAATTTTCCTGCTCCCCTTGTCCCTTTCAGAGATGTTAGTGATATTTCATTTATACAATCTAAGAAGGTGGTTTGTTTCAAAGAACCCTCTGCAACTGATATATCTAATGGTGATCTGCTTCAGAGACAGCCATTCATAGAGGAAAGCTCAAGCAACAGGTGTGTACAAAAGGATATTGGCACACAGACAAATTTGAAATGCCAGGGAGGCATTGAAAATTGGCAGTTTTTTAGTTCAACTACAGTAAGAAGTCCTCTACAGAAAGCGGAAAGCAGAGCAGGAGTGGTGTTGGATGAAACTCTTAGGCAGTATGAAGCAGCCAAATACGTCATGAGGTCTGAACCTGAAGGGTGTAGTGGAACCATTGGCAATAAAATTATTATTCCTATGATGACTATCATAAAAAGCGATTCAAGTAGTGATGCTAGTGATGTACATGGTTCCTACTCATGGGACAGTAATCTACCAGAGTCTTTGGAGTCAGTTTCTGATGTTCTTCTAAACTTTTTTCCATATGCTTCACCCAAGACAAGCATAGCTGATAGCAGAGAGGAAGAGGGTGTGTCAGACAGTGAGGATGGTGGTGGTAGCAGTGTAGATTCATTGGCAGCACATGTGAAAAATCTTCTGAAATGTGAATCTTCATTGAATCATGCTAAACAAATACTCAGAGATGCAGAGGAAGAGGAATGTCGAGTACGAGCACGAGGTAAGAGTCGATTATTTGTCATAAAGGTAGGTTCGGGTTTATAAACATAGTTTAATTATTTCCTTAAAATTAGATGTTTGGAATTATAAATTTATTGTTCTGTGGAACTGTTGAAAGATTATATTTCTATCAATAATTCAGAAAATGCCCATTTAGTCAGTAAGTTACAGTATTAGCAGTACTAGTCTGAGTTAGGATCTTAGAAGCAGATTCTGATGTCTGATAGAGAAAGAGGTAGCTGGAGCTTCAAGCTCCTAAAACTCTTGTTTTCCTAATCTCGTTACCTTATTTGGGGGAGGAGGAGGAGACAAAAAAACCTCCAATGTTATGTACACTGAATTGTTCTATGTCTTAAAACTACATACATGTTTTCCCCCTTTTAAAAAATTTCGTTAGAGGGGGTGTATGCTCACCAGAGACAGAGGAAGAAAAAGAAAATGAGAGAGAGAGCTCCTCTCAGTGGATATAGTCACACTGCAGTTCTCTGTCTCTCCATTCTGTTGGGATTTGGGGCATGTATGCAGATGTCCCTGTTGTGTTTCTCAAGCTGGTGGGGCTGGGATTTGAACTGTGTGGTCAGTCATGTGGAATCTGACTCCCTCAATTAATAGGCTGTGGAGCTGGCTTCTTCCTTTCTTATAAAATTCTTGGAGCTAATCTCAGACATTAGGGGGCAAAAAGACATCAAAATAATATACACTGAAGGGACCAGCAGTTGGCGTAATGGCTATGTCACTGGATTCCCATGTAGTCAACCGCGGTTTGTGTCCCGGACCCGGTGGTTTAAAACTCACACCGGGCACGTGTGCGTGCGTGCCCAAGATCCCGAGAGGAGAAAGGAGGAGAAGGGATTGCGACATGGCCATCCCCCCTGGGGGGTGATTTCTTGCTTTCTGTCTCTGTCTCTCTCTGTCTGGTGAGCACATGCGCCCTATAGCAAAAACCTCTCAAAAAAAAAAATTTCAACTAAAGAGAAAAGCAAAACATTTAAGGACAATAAAAATGGAAAATTATCTCTTGATGATAATGTGTATGATAATATTTTTGAACCAACGTACAGTGTATTCATGATGGGAAAATTCACTGGTATGCTGCAATGATACACAGTAATTCAATGTAAAAAATTTTGATTGAATAACCCACTTAAAATAATATTTTGGAGAAATATCTGTAGGATATGTTTTTCAAAGATCAGACTTTTGGGTGAAATGATCTTAAGAGCTTCTAGTATATTGTCCATGTAATTGAGAACGCAGAGGAAGCGTTGTGGTGGGCATTTAATTCCATATATTGGCGATTCTCTGCACTTTTATAATCATTGGTATGTTTTCACTTTTACATTATATTAGCACAAATGTTTCTATGCTTTTTCTTCAGCCTGGAATCTGAAGTTTAATTTAGCACACGAATGTGGATACTCCATTTCAGAATTAAACGAAGATGACAGGAGGAAAGTAGAAGAGATCAAGGCAAAGTTGTTTAGTCATGGGAGAACTGACTTGTCCAAGGTATAGATAAGTCTAGAAATGCAAAAAGAAAATGGGAAACAAAGGGTGCTGGAATTTAAATCTTTTACATGGGCATTGATGACTCTACCTGAGTTGCTAATAATCTTTGGCCAAAGTATTAGGAATCTTAAATAAAAGTTAAAGTGTAATCGATTCTATAAATTTCAATTAATTCCAGATTCAACTACTGAAAAAATTACCTTCTTAGAAAAATAAGAATTGATTTGCTTGTCTTACCGGTATATCACTCGAACAAAGAGATTAACTGTGTGCTTTACCGAGGAAAGGGGAAAAATCACTCCTCATGGAGTATGGTCACACCCTAATCCTTTCTCCATTTTTCTCTCCTTAAAAAAAATTCTGTTTATATCTTTAGAATTGAAATTTCATTAGGGAGCATGTAGTCAGGCCTTATTTTGTTAATCCATTCTGTCAGGCTCTTTTGATTGGGGAATTTAATTTGTTTTCATTCAAGATTGGTATCAATAAATGCCAACTTAATCCTGTCATTTAGTTGATTGTTTTCTGGTTTTGTGTTTTCTGTTTATTCCTCCATTTTTTTATATTTGTGGTTTGGTAGATTTCCATAGTGATGAGATTTGGTTCTTTTCTCTTATTTGTGTGATTGCTCTACTAGCGAAATTTTTTATTGTTACATGTTTTTGTGATGATCTTTATCTTCTTATTGCTTTCAGATATAGGGTTCCCTTAAGCATTTTTTGAAGAGCCATTTTATTAGGTTGTTGGAAAAGTCATGGGCGTAATTTTCTGTGTTTTTCTATGCAAAAATGCATCATGATTTTTACGATGACCCAATAGGATTAGTGAATTCAGTCAGTTTCTATTTGTCTGGGAAAGATTTTATTTCTCCTTCAATTCTGAAGGATAGTTTTTCCAGGTATAATATCATTGGCTGAATTTTTTTTTCTTTCAGAATTCTGAATATATCATCTCAATGTCTTCTGCTCTGTAAGTTTCTGCTGAGAAATCTGCTGATAGTTTGATGGGATTCCTTTATATGTGACTTGGTGCTTTTCTCTTTCTATTTTTAGGATCCTTTTTCTTTGGGTTTTGACAGTTTGAATACAGTGTACCTTGGAGAGGATCTTTTTATTTTGAATCTATTTGATATTTATATTTACTCAATTTAGATTTCTGTATCTCTCCTTAGATTGGGAAGTTTCAGTTATTATTTCATGAAATAAGTTTTCTATGTCTTGGTATGGCACTTCCATTATGCTAATATTTGATTGCTTAATGATGTTCCAAAGTTTCTATCAGTTTTTTTCATTATTTTCTTTCTCATTGTCTGAGTTATTTCAAAAGTTCTGTCTTCAAGTTCAGACATTCTTCTGCTTAATATATACTATCTTGTTAATGCTTTCAACTCCACTTTTCATTTTACATGTTTGCTTCATGTCCAAAATTTCTGTTTGGTTCTTTAAGACATGTATCCCTTTTTGCAATTTCTTTTTCATGGGTCCAGCAGACGGCATAATAGTTATGTCACTGGACTCCCCACATGGCTGACTGTGTTTTGAATCTTGGACTCACTGGTTTGAAACTCACTCTGGGTGTATGTGTGTGCATGTCCAAAACCCCAAGAGGACAGTGTAGAAGAAGGAATTGTGGGTTGGCCATCCCCCCTGTGGGTTGATTTATCACTTTCTGTCTCTCTGTCTCTCTGGCAAGCACACGTACCCTATAGCAAAAATCTTTTAAAAAAAAAATTTTTTTTTTTGAGAGGTTTTTGCTATAGGGTGCGTGCGCTTGCCAGAAAGGCAGAGAGAGACAGATATAGAAAGTGAGAAATCACCCCCCGGGGGGATGACCACGCCACAATCCCTTCTCCTCCATTCTCCTCTTGAGATCTTGGACATGCACGCACACGTGCTCGGCGTGAGTTTAAGCCTCTGGGTCAAGGACTCAAACTGCGGTCTACTACATGGGAGTTCAGTGACATAGCCATTACGCTAACTGCTGGTCCCCCCAAAAATTTCTTGTTCATATATATCATGGATTGTTTTTCTGATTTTGTTAAATTATTTTTTTGAATTTTCTCATATTTCAGTGTATTTCCTCACAATCATTATTACTCTGAATTCTGCATTTATCATTTCTCTCTCTCTCTCTCTTTTTTTTTTTTGACCATAGGGTGTGTGCAGTTACTAGAGAGAGTCAGGGAGAGATAAAGAAGGAAAGTAAAAGCATCCCCCCCCCCAGCAGTTTGCATAATGGCTATCTCCCTGGATTACCATGTAGTTGACTGTGGTTTGAGTCCTGGACCCCGTGGCTTAAACTCACGCTGGGCGTGTGTGCATGCATGCCCAAGATCTCTAGAGGAGAACAGAGAAGAAGGGATTTCGGCGTGGCCATTCCCCCTGGGGGTGATTTCTCGCTTTCTGTCTCTTTGTTTCTCTGGCAAGCGCACACACCCTATAGCAAAAACCTCTCAAAAAAAAAAGAAAGAAAAGCATCCCCATATGGGGAATGATCACACTATATCCCTTCTCTGTCTCTCCCTCCTTTTGGGATTTTGGGGACACATTCACATGTGCCTGGTCTATTTCTCAAGCCACTGGATTGATTATTTGAACTGCACATTTGGCCACGTAAGATCCAGCTACTTTAACTGCCACACCACCAGCCAGCTTCTTTATTTATCATTTCTTTGATTCACATTGCTTTGTTGTCTTTTACTGGAGAATTAGTGTGTGTGTGTGTTTTTCTTTTGTGGAGACAGTTTTTGGGCATCTAGTAGAGCAATTGTCTCTTTGTATTTAATTGGATAGCTTTTATAGGGAAGGACTTTTTCCTGTAGATGTAGCTTATACTATTTGATGGCTAGTTCTTTAATTTAGGTCTGTCTGGGTTCAGTAGTGTGGTCTCTGTATTAGTTTCTTTGACTGGAATCTGTCTGAGCATGATCTGTGAGTACCTTTGTGGTAGGGAGTATGAATGTTTGTAGATACAGTGACATGGTTTTTTGGGGGGACAGAGGCCACCTAGGGTGTGGACCAGGGCCCTCTTGCCCTGACTGGGAACATGCAGTGTGTGCGTGGTGGGACCCTCAATCAGATAAGTGCCTCTGTGGACAGTTGTTGGTATCAGGTACCAGATGTGAGGGTGCTGGTATGTTCCTTTTCTGGCTTTTGCACCTGCAAGAAGCCTAGCTAACTCCCTACACTTTGCTAGACATCTGTGATGATTCTGTGGCTCCTTTGTAGTCCGGACTGTAGGTGTCTGAAGAAAGTATAGGGAGTGCCAGGGATGTTTCACTTACCTCTTCCTTGCAGTGGGAGGGTCCCCTTGGCTCCAAGTACTCCCAACCCAGACTTTGTCTCCATCATACCTCAGTCCTGGGTTTCTGTGCCTCAGCAGTTTCTCTTTCCTTCTTTGCTGTAGTCTGGTGTTTTCTCCTTGCTGTCCTGTTAAAAAAAAAAAAAAAAAGATGTATTTATTCTTTCCATTTTGGTCCCTTTCTGTGGAGAGAAGTCATGTTAAGTTTCTGTAGTTGTCCATCTTTCTTTCCCTGTAGAGGTTTTTATAGCTTAGCCAGCCATAGTGGCTCAGTGGTAACACAATAGTCTGCAATGGTGAAACCATGAGAGCTGATCCTGGCTTTGTGTCCTGGGGTGGTCTTGTGTATGTGTGTGCATGTGGATGTGCTTGATCCTGGTTGGCTGTGTATAGGGCTAGGATACCCTGTTAGGGGTCACTTGTTTTTTTTTTTCTCCTCTCTGTCTCCCTTTCTCATAAAATAAACATTTGAAAATGCTTTTATAGCTTATCTGGTAACAGTTTTGTGAAAATAGTAAAGTTTATTTAGCAAATACTAAAGCCATAAAAACTTTTCAAATAGACCAGTAGGTGTCATGATGGTTAAGGGTGGTGGACTCCTACATGGCTGACAGTGATTCAAGTCCCAGACCTGGTGGCTTGCTTTCTCACTTTCCCTCCCTCTTTCTCTTTCTCTCTCTCACTCTCTGTCACTCTTTGGTCAAATTCAAATAAATAAATAATTCTTGGGAACTGGCAGTTAGCGTAATGGCTATGTCACTGGACTCCCACGTAGTCGACCACGGTTCACGTCCCGGACCCGGTGGCTTAAAACTCATGCCGGGCGCGTGTGTGTGCGTGCCCAAGATCCCGAGAGGAGAATGGAGGAGAAGGGATTGAGGCGTGACCATCCCCCTGAGGTGGGTGATTTCTCGCTTTCTGTCTCTATGTCTCTCTTTGTCTGGCGAGTGTATGCACCCTATAGCGAAAACCTCTCCAAAAATAAATAAATAAATAAATAAATCTTAAAAATTTTTTTCAAATAGAAAGGTTATTATACACAATGTTTATGCTTATTATGAAAGCTTGAAAGTTGTGATGAGAGATGATAGAGCATGGAGTATTCAAAAAAAATTGTATTATATGGATTGTGGAAAAGAATAAAAATGTATTCAAAGAGAGTTTGTTTCCTAGTGATAGATCAAGTTAATGATAAGTCACAGAATAAAAATGTCAGTTTTAAAAAAGAATTATTTAATTTTATTTGTTATTGTTATTATTTAATTTGACCAGAGAGAGAAAGGGAAAGTGAGAAAGCAAGCCACAACAGGCTACTAGGTCCAGGACTTGAACCATGGCCAGCCATGTGGGAGTCTAGCACTCTAACCACCATGCTGGCTCCCCAAAACGGCATTTTAAAAGTATTCATTTTGGGGCCTAACATTTGCCATAGAAGTTACATCACTGACTCCCACATGACCAGACCATTGGAGTCCCAGACCTGGTGGCTTAAAACTCAGTGGGCATGTGTGTGTGTGTGTGTCCTTGAGATCCCAGGAAGAGAAGGGATTGTGATGTGGCCATCACCGCAGGGTGTGATTTCTCACTTTACTTCTCAAAAGCAACCCCCCCCTGTGTATGTATATGTGTGTGTACACACATACATATATGTGTATATATACACATATTACACACATAGTGTATATATGTATGTACATGCATGTATATGTATGTATACACGTATGTATACATGCATGTCTATATATACACATATACATATGTGTGTGTATATATAAACAAAGTTCATTTTGTCAAGTAGTATTTAATTAATTTTTAAAGTCAGCATTTTGTTCTGAAATAATGATAGATACACATGCAATTGATCTTATGCCCCAAGATAAAGATAAAAATTCTTTTTCCTGTTCTTCAGGTTAAAATATTAGAGTATAGGTCACATCTCTGTAATAGAAAGCCAAAAATACAAATCACAAAGGCAGATCTTTTTTCCTCCCACATAATAGTCCAGGGCAAGAAAGAAAGCTGGTTTTTTTTGTTTTGTTTGTTTGTTTGTTTGAGGTTGTCTAAGGACCCATGCTGACTAGGTAACTGAGCTGTCCTTATAACTGCTTTCTAAGGAAGGTTGGTTGTTTCAGGCATAATCATTTTGGCTGGCAATAGGAGCAGTGATAATAGTGGTGGTTTTAGTGGGGTAATATGGAGGTCAGTAACTTAATTTTAAGAATAGGAAGCAGAGGTTGTGCTTAACTCTTTTGCTCAATTTGTTGACCTAAACCTAGTTATATGGTCACACCTAGCTGCAAAAGAAACAGGAAATGCCTCCAGTTTGATGGCTCTGTGACCAGCAAAAGTTTGGGTGAGCGACCTCTATTATTAAAAGCAAGAAAATGAAAATACATACTGGAGAATGATAGTAGTCTTTGCTCTGGTTATTTTAGTGGAAAATGTAAGAAAAATTCTACTTAGTGGTTTTCATTATCACGAGCTCTTTCATTCTGTAGTTGTCTTTTCTTGCTGTGTTCTTTGACCTATTATAAACAAATGACTTGACCTTTATGATCAAATTTTAGCATGGATATAACTTACTTGTATTGAGGAGTTTGGAGTACTTTAAGTGAGAACCCATTTATGTTTTCTAGGGTTTACAGAGTCCACAGGGAATAGGATGCACACCAGAGGCTGTATGTAGTCACATCATTATCGAGAGCCACGAAAAAGGATGTTTCAGGACGCTAACTGCTGAACAGCCACAACCTGACAGCCATCCTTGTGCTTCCCGACCTGCTGAGCCCTCAGCAATGATCAGAGGACAGCAGAGCCCGTCGTCGTGGAGAGCCAGGCACATCAACTTTTCTAAATCACTGGACCAGAACAACCCCCATTTCAAAGTTTGGAATTCTTTGCAGTTACAGAGTCATTCCCCATTTCAAAACCTTATGTCTGATGACTTCAAAATTAGCAAGGGTCTTCGAATGCCTTTCCATGAAAAGATGGACCCTTGGTTGTCAGAATTAGTAGAACCTCCTTGTGTGCCACCTGACGAAGTGGATTTTCATTCTTCATCACAAATGTCGCCCCCAGAACCCATGAAAAAGTTTACTACCTCCATCACTTTTTCATCTCACCGACATTCTAAGTGCATTTCAGATTCCTCTGTTCTTAAGGTTGGTGTTAATGAAGGTAGCCAGTATACTGGAGCATCTGTGGGGGTATTTAATTCTCATGTCACTGAAGAGCAAAATCCTCCTAGAGATCTAAAACAGGAAGCCTCTTCCCCTTCATCATTTAAAAAGCTTAGTCATTCACCAGATAAAAAAATGACTATTTTAGCAGAAGGCAGTAGTAGGGAA